TACAGGTAGGAGGCTTCTGAACACCTCCCTATCCCCACAGATGACTGGGAGGTGGTGTGTGGGGAGAGGGCAGTAAGGACGTCTCGGCGTAGACTGCTGGCCCCACTGATCTGAACCCGGATAACTGGCAGGAAGATGGATGGATGGATCCTGATGAATCTCCTCAGACCTCTCATATACACTCATGACTAAAAAATGTTTGTGGAAACAAAATTTGTGCCACTATGTTCTTTATTATTATTACTTTTTACATGTTTCTATGATGTAGTGAAGAACAATCGTGAGCATTTCATGTTTCAAAGGCTTTTATTAGCAAATAAATCAAATTTCAAGCAAAGACTTCTTCTGCTGCAGTTCTCTGTGACGTGCTGGCTATCCGTGCTGATCAGTTTGCGGGTTTCTGCTTGTCCACCCACTTTTTAAGGAAGAACCAAGTAATGTTACTGTTCATAATCCATGTGGCCAAAGGTTAAAGGCCCTGAGGTGGACATGCATAAAAATAAAGTCTAAACTGTAAAGACAGAATTCAGATTTACACACAGTTTGAAGTTTTTGTGTGAAAGAAAAGAAAACATGTTAAAACCAAGAAATCTTCAAATTCTAGAAATCTTAAGTTTTCCTCTTTATTTTGAATGCGATGCTTTCCCACAGGGTTAAATAAGCTTTTAGGGTCATTTCATCAGAATCAGCTGATTTTACCTGAATACTAGTAAAACTGCTATTACAGGAGAGCATCCATAGCTCACATCGCACCCCGAAGGCTAAAGGCTGCATTAAAACTTTGATGTTTGTATCACCACACGATGCCACCAACCTGTTATGGCGTCTCTGTGTCTTTTCATATAATATATTACTCCATGTTTTGTTTTTTTCAAGGTCAGCTTTGACCTTGGATCCCAACAATGAAGATCAAATGCTTAGTCAACCCAATGGCCTTTGTGTATTGATATAAAGTCTGAAGACTATGCATAGAAATTGTGGGAAGTAGAAAGTTTCTACTGATTTTCACAGTTGCTGTGACCTTGACCCGCGACCATCACACAAAATTTGAAAATGAAACCTTAAACTGTGGACGCCTGACTGCTAACAAACAAACAAACAGACCGATTACATGCTCTCTCCCTTTGGTGGAAGAACAGGGACTGGATGTTGATCCTGGTGTTAAAAATAGGTGAAAATGGGAATTTTCACATGTTCCAACTTGTTTTGAGCAGCCACCCATCACACGTGGAGACACAATGCCTTAAAAAGTGCATTTTGGATAAAATTTAAGTTTTCTCAGAAAACAACACGATCAAAATTACATTAAAAAGCTCCAGATTTTAACCCAGCTCTACTTGCTTCTCAGTTTTCAGCCTTTTTATATGTTGTCTTTGTACCAGATATTATCACATATAAAGCTAGTTTGGGCTGCTCCTTTATTCACAGCAGGTAGCTCCACACATGCCTGATGCAACCACTCTCTGAGCCAAATGAGGGACCTTTCACCTGTTAGGTGAATGTGTAAACTGCTCCAGATGTTATCGGATAACAGGCGTGAAATGACATGTAAATCATCTCCTTTATTTAAATATTTTTTAGTCCCAGCTTTGTGGAAAATAATTCCATCCATGAGCGGAAAAACAGTCCACAGAGTCTGAGAGGCACGTGACAGTTTATTTTCACACTTTGAAACTTTAAAGCAGCCAGTCAGTTAACCTAAAGCAAAGATAAGCCCCGCCCACCTTTTAGCTGTCGCCAACACTTGCTGCTGAGCACGTCTGCGTCTACAGAGGCCCAAGTAGGTCAAACTAAAGATCAGGTTTGCATGCTAAACTTTGTTCTGGGTGAGAGGCGGGCATCAGGACAGGAAGTTACTTCAGAGGCGAGAAAGGACACGGCAACATGAGCTGGTTCCTCTGAGAGTCCAGATTGACGATGTTGTTTCTCACTGAAAGACACAGATTATCGATTATTGATTAATGTATGAGGGATTTTTGTCAGTGTGCGATGTTATGATGGGCGGAGTCTCACCTGCAGCCACCACTCTGGCATCATGGTGAGCTGTGTGTCGGATTTCAGCTCTATGGTCGGGGCTCTCGAACCACCAGAGGGCGTGAACTGACGAGATGCACACAGTGATATTGTCAACCACTCACAGTCCCATGATCACTCACAGTGACATCGTCACCTCAATACCTCTATTTTGCAGTCCAAACTCGCAGTGGAAAGCTCCTATCAGCTTGCCGTACCCAGGTGCATCATGGGCATTGATAGCGGCCTGGAAGGCCTTTCCCCAAACTGCTGGTCCACCAGGACGCATCTGGAAAGAAACCAGCTCGTACACACCTGAAACAAACAAACAAAACAGGTGAGTGTTGACCAGCTGGGGATGATGTCACTGACACGTGAAACACAGAGGGCGGGGCTTACCACCCTCTTGCAGCGGACTTTGCAGGCGGCTCCAAGGAACCATATAGGTGACTTCGTTGTCCTGTGACGTCAGCATTGGTAAGGCCTTGGAGAGGTACTCTGACACCCAGGCGGGATCCTGAGCGAGCGTCGCCCGGACCTCTGCCCGCTGGGCGTAACTGTCTGAGGAGTGGGTAGGGACCCGTTACCTTTTAAAAGCCCCATGAAGAAGAAACACCTTCATATTGTGTGAGAGAAGAAGAAACAGGTCCTCACCATACTTCCATATGTGGAAGGCCTTGTTCAGGCCACCGTACTCAACGCTCCAGTAGCCGACCAGCTCGGAGTGGGCAGTGCGCAGGTGGATCTTCTCATTGGTCAGCTTGAGGAAGGCGGCATTCTGATCCGGGCGGATGCAGTAGGTGCGAAACTCATAGAAGGTTCTGTGTTTCTGCTGGGGACCGGTGCCGAAGTGCGCACGTGGCTGCAGAGAGGAGGGAGGAGTGCAGAGGTCTCACTCTGACAGAAAAGAAGGAGCATGGAGTTCATCGATACTCAAAACACATTCTGGTTTCTGTTGTCCTAAAATCAGCGTTTGTATGATACAGCAACAAGAACACGCAAGCCAATCAGCAAACAAAGAAACACATTTGGATCAAAAGGTCTGAATCATGGGCCAATGCTGCTGGGGCACGAGTCAGGGACCGATCGCCATTGGCTGGGTCACCTGAACGAGGACGTCTGATGTCACAGGACTGAAACACCGGATGACTTCAGGAAACATCACTGATGATGTGACTGCTGAAAGAAGTGTACAGAAGTGTGTACAGGGCTATACTCCCTCATAAACTGACAGGATGAAGATTAACAGTGTGAATGGGCAATTTTATAATAAATAAGCAAATGAGTGTGTACCATCAGACTGTTCTTTATCTAAATAAAATTGGGGTTGAGGGTCATGAAATTATTTCTGTTTACCTAATATCACTAACTCCTCTGTGAGATGCAGTTTTTCAGCATAACGAACCATCTAAGGCTGGAACCAGAACCAGAACTCCTAAAGCATGTTTAAGGTAGCAGGAGGTCATTTGTTTGTTTGTTTTGTTTTTAATTTGTCAGAGATGTTTCTTATTTAACCACTCCCCTTCTCCCATGCCTTTTTGGGTCCCACATTAAAAAACTCAAAACAATCTGTTTATAAGTCTGTATTGGGGGCATGTGAGCCCTTTAATCTGTGTTAGAGATATGACCAGTGTTAGAGGAACATCCAGAACCCAGCATGGGAGGACAGACACTGATAAAAATCAACACAAAACTGTCGTCATGGAAACGGTTTTAGTTGTATCCTGCTGCCACCTGCTGGGCTCCTTAAAACACTGCAGCTGAGGGATACGTGACCGTGGACCACAGAGCAGGCTCTGTTTGTGTCTCCGTGTGTACTCGTGTGCGTATTCACGTGAACCCACTGCTTTTCTGCTGCTGGTTAATTTTAAACTTGTGATCTTTGACCCAGATCAAAGCTCAGCAGGTCACACACGGAGCTCACAAACATGAAGTCTAGAGCAGGAATGTGCGTGTGCACAGGTTAAAGTTTACATGTTCCAGCTCGGATGTGCGTGCACTGTCAGGGTCAAGGTGCAGATTCGGTGCACTGACCTGCTGGGCTGGTTCTGGGCTGCAGCTGGACTCACCTGAGCAGCAGCAGCGGGTCTGAGGAGTAGCGCGGCGGACCTCAGAGAGCAGCTCAGCTTCAACATGTTGAGAAAGTGTCCGAAACGAGTGGAACTGCAGGAAGAAACTCAGGCAGGACGTGTGCAGATCCTCTATGAGCGTGAGGTCTCACTCCAAAGTACTTCCTTCCGCTCCCTCTCAATGAGATGATTCCTATCAGGGTTTTTCTTTTTTTCTTTTTTTTAATTCTACTGGTCAGTCCCTGGACACTGGCACTGGCTCTGCCTGATGTCTCTTCTTTCTTACCTGCCCCCTTACTATCCCTGTGTCTGATTGGACTGATGCACCCAGTCCCTGCTCCAATCCAGCTGCACCACCACCTACTTTACCACCAGCTGGGGTCATTGAATGAGTTACTCAGAAGGCTCCAACCACGCATGACAGTACCTTTTCAATGTACGTGGAGACACGATGAGGGATTTTACATCCACAGCAATCATTAACACATAGGTAACTTGGTTGTAGCTGCTAGCTGCCTCCAGGCTTCTCCACCTAACGAGTAAAGACACAAATAAGACTTAAATACTATCTGGTGACAAATATTTATTGTGAATTGTCTGTGCTAAAGAATAAAATAAGCAAATTAATTAAGGCCAATTTGTAAACACTTTGTTTTTGCTTTTTGTTTTTTACAGTTGTGCGTCTAAATTTAAGGCGGAGTGAGCTCTCCTGTCTTAACGTCTCAGATAGCAGGACATTATGACGTCACGACTTTTAAAACGTTTTCCATTTGGCTGAATTTATGAATTACTTTATTATCACTATCTCACGCGCAGTGTTTGATTTTTGATTGCTTAAAAAAAAAAATAAAGTAAATGTTAAGTAAATTATTATTTTTTATTAAACCGGAACATAAACAAACCACGTCACGTCCACAGGAGGAAGTTGAAGCAGAGAGGTCGGCTCCTCCGCGTGTGCTGAGTGCGCGTGCGGCAGTCGGGATGCTAACGATCCTGCAGGTGTGCGTCCGCCGCCACCTGTGGAGGAGCGCGTGTTCTTCTGCTGCGGGAGCGCAGAGGGGCTCTGGGGCCGCGGGGGGTCGCGGTCTGAGCCGGCCCGGGGTCCGGACCTGCACCGTAGACCCGAACCTGGAGGAGCAGTTCGTGTTTCTGGACTGCACAGGTGAGAGCGCAGGTGCTACAGGGATAAGAACAGGCTCAGCCCAGCAGGTGGTTAGCTGTTCTGCAACAGTTTAATGTGGAGATATCTCTGTTTATGTGTATCTCTGTATATGTGTTTAATGTGGAGATATATCTGTTTATCAAAGAGAAACACTAAAATCAAGCACCAGCTGACAGTTCAACCTTAACTGGAAAGTTGAACTCTCCGGTAATAGTTTTTTCTCATTTATTATTATTATTTCTGCTGGATCAGTAAAGGTATTAGCATAGCATTACCTGTCTGTCTTCTGCTATGTTCATATGATCAACAGGAACAGACGGGTACTACTAAGAATCTCCTAATAATGCTTTGAATACTCTTTAAAAGCTTTAGACCCTCCTGCTGTCTGCACACTGAGGTCTGCGGGATATTCCAGGAGTGGCAATGCTATATTTTTAGTGGAATGATTGGTTGGTGGTGGTTCTGTAACATAAGCTGCTCTGGAGCAGGTTAGGTGTGCAATCACTGAAAACCGAGCCTTAAAGCCCCAATTCCAGCTTCAGAGGACAGGTGTCTGCAGAGTTGCTGCAAAGGTGTCATGAGTCTATCTTCTTCTCTCCTGGTTCAGATGCAGATGAGGACTCCAGTCAGGAGGAGAAAGAGCTCCTCCATCAACTGAGTGCCACCACTTCCTCCTCCTCCTCCTCCGCTGCTGCGCCCGGATCATTGGTCGATACTCAGTTGTCCCCGCAGAAACACCTGAGGTCTCTCGAGCGTCAGCTGCAGCTGTTGAGGCATGGCGTCCTGAAGGAGCCGCAGGCAAAGCTGGACTCCCTGATCCAGTTCCATGATGTGGACTTCCCGTTGGACGAGAGCATTGTGGCTGCAAAGAAGAAAAAGAAGGCGGCTGTGGGGAAAGGCGAGCACAAGATCTACGGCACCCCCGACGTGGACGAGCCGGTCAGCGACACGTGCTGCTCAGGCTGCGGCGCCATGCTGCACTGCACTGCCGCCGCTGTCCCTGGCTACCTGCCCAGTGAGAAATACAAGGTGCTGGTTCAGGAGGGTCGTCTGAGCGGCGCCACCTGTCAGCGCTGCCACCTGCTCACCCACCACCACAAGGCCCTGAACCTGCAAATGCCCAAAGACCAGTACCGGGACGTGGTGCGGCAGATTCGCCCGCACAAGGCTCTGGTGCTGCTCATCGTCGACCTACTCGACGTGCCGGACTCCATCATCCCCGACCTGCCTGAGCTGGTGGGACGCAACAAATACATCGTTGTTCTTGGCAACAAGATCGACCTGCTGCCCGGAGACTCGCCGAACTACCTGCAGCGACTCAAGCGGCAGCTCTCTCAGTACTGCAAGGAAGCCGGCTTTGGCGATCAGGTGACCGACGTCCACCTGATCAGTGCTAAGACTGGGTACGGCATAGAGGAGCTGATCTCCAGTCTGCAGCGGTCCTGGAAGTACAAAGGCGATGTGTACCTGGTGGGCAGCGCCAATGCCGGGAAGTCGACGCTCTTCAACACGCTCCTGGAGTCCGACTACTGCAAGTCCAGAGCCTCAAACGTCATTCACAAGGCTACCATCTCACCGTGGCCAGGTCTGCACCAGACTCCATGTACATTTTCCCCAATTTATCGTATCTTTGTCTTCATCCAGATACAGAGAAGTCCCAGAGCATGATGGGAGATGTTTATGAATTTGAAGTGGCTGCTTCTTAATTCGGGTTGAAAAAAATTCTGTCACAAACAAATCTGTCAGCGATACATTCAAGACAAATGCTACTGCTTTTAGATTTTTAGTTAAATCTATTCCGATCATATTTATTCTTTTGAGTTTCCTGTTTTCCCGTAGAATGATTTAAAGGAACTTAGTTAACAGTTACTAATGACAGCTGCCCCCACGAGAGATGGTGTCAGAGAGTCTATTTTTATTTTAAGACATTTGGCAATAAAAATATATATATATATATATATCTAAATACTGTTTTAATGATTTAATTCTTCTCCTCTTCAATTATTTCTGATATTCTTGTCTCTTGGTTAAACTGTTGAGTTTCCCATCATCATGTGACTGTTTCCTCCTGCTGTGGTGCATTCAGGGACAACTCTGAACCTGCTGAAGTTCCCCATCATCAACCCGACTCCGTACAGGATGTTCAAGCGTCAGGAGCGACTGAAGGAGGCGTCGCAGCAAAAGGAGAGCGAGCTGTTGCCAGAAGAGCTAAAAAGGCTGCAGTACTTCAGCAAGCAGGGATACTTAGTGGGTAAGTGGTGAAGGAGCAGGAAAGACGAGGAGGTGCTTCCTGTCTGAACATGTGTTTATCTCTTCAGGTCGCATTGGCAGAACATTCCGGGTTGAAGGATTCAGACCGAATGAGATCCAGTTTGATCCTGACAGCCTGGCATTTGGAGAAAACGAAGATGGCGAGGAGACCACGACAGGTGGGCGAACTGATGCAGGAATCTGTCGAAAGCATTTTATGAGAATCCAAAAATGTTTAAGTGATCATTAATGAAGCTTTAATTAGTGGTTATCTTGCTGTAACATGCTTTACCTTCTTCCTGTATTCAGACTGATATTTACTTACTCCACAGGAGACTCCATTAATCTTCTCTCCCATCTAAGCCTCCAGTTGTGATGCTCATAAATTATTACAAGTCTTATAGAGTTTTACTACACTGCTGATTTGACCTTTGACCTCTGTGTGACGTTGCCTTCCAGCTGCCAGCAGGTCAACTGAGGAGCTGAGTCACAACGAGCTAAAAGACGCCCACTGGCTGTACGACACGCCGGGAATCATGAAGGAGCTTGATGTGAGGCTCATTTTAATCTTCAGGCTTGGAGCTAGTCCTTTAAGAAGACTTTCTTATGATTGGCTACCCTTCGTCCCAATTATTGTAGTCACCTGAGTTCATTCTCTAAGCAAATATCTCTGGAGTCACCCTTACACTTTCATTAACTATAAATCAGTGGCAGAAGCTCTGATTTTACATGTTAACTGTAAATGCCAGCCTCCACACAGCAGGGGGCACTGCTCCACTGAATAGACTTCTCCTCAGTGTGTTCCTGACATTGGATGTTCACAAATCTTTCTTTTCCTCTCTCTTTCTCAGATTCTAAACCTGCTGCATGAACAGGAAGTGAGGTTGGTGGTTCCCACCCAGGCCATTGTCCCGCGAACGTTCGTTCTGAAGCCCGGCACGAGTTTGTTTGTGGGAGCTCTGGCCAGGATCGACTTCCTGCAGGTGAGAAGAAGAAGCTGAACAAAAGAACTGAAATCCAACTACTGTGGCGAAGAGTGAAAAAGAGCAAGAGAAGCAAGCTGTTAGTCAGAGTGGAGGAGCAGCACCAGTGAGAGCGGACTCCATCTCCACTGAGCTGGATGAGCTAGTGACTGTAGTCCTCGAAGTTTGGGGGAGGGGGTAGGGCAAGGCAGAACAAGGAATACTTTTGGATCAGAGTCCAACAGCGGGATGAGGCTTGCTGGAGAGGCCACTGAACGTATTCTTCAGTCATTTATTTATTAATGAGTACAGGTGTGGTCACCTGTACCTGTGGGTGTGAATGTCACAGTTGGCTGGGGAAAAAATTAAAGGGAAAAATCCAAAATAAATTTCAAACTTGTCAACCTAAATCTTTTTTTCCTTTGAAGTCTTTAAAGATGTACAATAATTCCACTTTGGACAAAGAACACTTCAAGTTTCTGTTATCCTGACCACACCAACGAGCCAGTATCTGTTTAAATTAACCCAGATGTTGTTAAATAAATTGATACATTCATGATTGGAGATGTTTAAGGATTACAAATATCACAGTGGCACATGGACGTAAGCCTGGGCTCTGAAACGGCACCACTGGTACTTGAACATGTGGATGTTCCTGAAGCAGCTGCTGCCACAAATAGAAATGAGCTCTTTGGTGCTTCTGAGCGACTAATAAGTGATTGATAAGCTGCTGATCCGCGCTGTCCTCCACAGGGAGAAAAGTCCTGCTGGTTTTCTGTCATGGCCTCCGATCGGGTGCCGGTTCACATCACTAGCCTGGAAAAAGCCGACAGCATTTATGAGAAACACGGTGGACACGTGCTGCTGGGGGTGAGTTGCATGAGCCCTGCACAGTGCTGCTTTCGAGTGCCTGTGATTATTAATGCTTGTGTGCGTGCTGCGTTCAGGTGCCTGTCGGAGGCTCGGAGCGCATGAAGGAGTTCCCTGCATTGGTTCCTCAGGAGTTCAGTTTGGAGGGTCGGGGTTACCTGGAGGCTGCTGCTGACATCAAACTGTCATCTGCAGGTAAATTCATAAACATCACCTGCAGCACCTTCAGTGTCTCACCTGCCTCACCTGCCCATCTCTCGCACTCTCTCTCTGCAGGCTGGGTGGCTGTGACAGCAGTGGAGGGCGATCAGCTGCTGTTGAGAGTTCACGGGCCGCAAGCTGCAGGCTTCGGTTTGAGGACGCCGTCGCTGCTTCCTCACGTCATCTCTCTGAAAGGAGAACGTATCCGCAAGTCTGCTGCATACAAACCAATGAAAGCCGTGGGTCTGCTGCACAGCGGACTGTCGGCCGCCGGAACCGAGAGGCTGCAGGTGAAGAGGAAGAAGAAGAAGAAGAACTGAGCCAAGGGTAGAGGATGTGGAGGAGGCGCTCTCACCACCAAGACTCTCTGCAGGTGGTTGTAGCTCCACATCTAGAAGAACTGACCTCTGACCTCAGAGAATGTGATTCTGGATCAATTTGGCTTTGTTAGAGGATGTGTGTCGTTTTGTTAAATAAATATACATATTTCATACTGTTATCGTCAATGGCGTTTATACAGCTGGGTCTTAATGTTCTGACAGTGACAGGCTGAAATTCAGCCACAATAAATATGAAGTTATACTATCGAAATAAAATTCACACTTTTAAACCAACATCCTCACAAACTGGGCCTCCAGTGCCGTTTCCTCACCTCTTTATTTGTGGTTCTTAAATAAATAATTCACTTGTTTCCCCCGAGAAACTCCTGTTTCTTTCACTCTTTCTGGTAGACTTTAACCTCCTGGACAGTGTTCATCATTTGTTTTGTTATTTTCAGAGCGTCTTCTTTGAAATGGTTTATTTTATTGACGTTGCTCATAAGTGACATTAGACTTTGTATTTCATTAAGTTGTAAACTAATTTTCCCTGAGCCAGTTCTGCTAAAGGTCTATTCCTGGTAAAGGGGAGTTTTTCCTTTCCACTGTCACCACGTGCTTGCTCATAAGAGGTCATTTGATTGTTGGGGTTATCTCGCTATTATTGCAGGGTCTTTATGCTTGTTGTTGTGATTTGGCACTATATAAATAAAATTTAATTTGTTTTAAATGTAAGGTGTAAAATCAGAGGTCTAGGTGGAAATACCCTCACATTAAATCTTTTTACTATTTAAACTCGTGTTCACAAAAATCTGTTGGGAAAACTGTTAATTTGGGGAGTTTTGGTGTTAGCTGGTCATGATGCTTTGATTCCATTCTGTGCAAAAACACATCCATGTGTGATATTTTAAATGTTGTAAATATTTAAAGTCACACCAGATTTTCTTTGAAGTCTGATTTTTAGGACTAATGAGGCTTTTAATAGACTCAGAGCTCCGGTTAATTCTGAATATGTTCCAACTTTATTAAAAACGGGCAGACAGATGCTGAAGTTGCTGATAGTGTTTGGAAATCTTTATTTACAAAAAAGCAGAAGAAAGTACGTTACAGATTAAAGCTTTAATCGGTTAGTTTTTAGCTGAAGAGTGCACTCAAGCTGCTCACAATAACATCAGACAGTTAGACAAACATTTCTAATTTGATTTAAACCTGACAGGAGAAGACGTTTCATCTTGTTAAACAGGCTGCGAACCTTTGTAAACGATAAAGTTGGTGTAATATTATCTGATCATTTTCATCACTCAGTTACTCTGATATTAAGCTGTACATGGGGCATGGTGGAGGCCAAGGTGCTCAAGTTGAGGCTTCAAGACGGAAACTAAAATACAAAGTCTGTAGAAGCAGGAAGAACCTTCTGATCGCAGTGTGAATTAGCAACAAAAGCGGTTTCGGGACTGACTGGACGGACTTTTTGGCTCACGTAAATGTAGTGTCCTCTGAACGCAGCCCCAAATAAATTTTGTTCCTTTCTTTAAAAAGATCATTTTCACCTTTCTGTCACAGTTCAGTTAGGCTTAGAGATGCCTGAGAGCAAGCACTGACCGCAGTGCTTGCTCTGGAAGACTCGATGAGCCCCAATGGGCTTAATTACAGAAAAGATCAAATAACACCATCCTTATCGTTAAGTTACAGAAACTACACAACCTGCTGCTGACACAAACCTTTACAAGCAGTAACTCATACGCATGATGTCGTTTTCATTTGATAGTAATAAGCCTCTGTAATAATAAGTCCTCGGATGACGATCACTCTGTACAGTTGGAAAGAAAACACTTTGGCGTCTCCACTAAAAGGAATATCGCACTGAAACTGTAATGAAAAATAACCCCCCAACCCCTAACCATTAATGGAATTTAATGTTTTACTACAGCTGGTTTAATAACCAGATCTTTAATCAAAGCATTCACAAACTGGTGCCAGGGCCACACTAAGGGGAAAAAGGAATTTTGAGAATAAAATTCATCTTCCTGTTGGCGCCTCTATAATATGGGCTGTGCTGACAAATTTGCACAGTCTGGTGAAAAGTATCCGGAATTCAGCTATTCCAGTTAGGCACATTTGAGCAAACTCAAATAGCTGCTAATGCACAGATGCAAGAACATCAGTGGTCACAATAGTGAGAGGTCACCACAGGAAACGGTGAGACACTTAAAGTGTTTGATCCTGAAGGCGTGGGGCTCAGGTGCTATGTGGTTTGAAGCCTGCTCAACACACACACACACACACACACACACACTTTTTTTGTGGAAGCACAAAATAATTGTGTGAGCAGGTTTTCATCCTTTCAAAAATCTGGTTATTTTAAGTAGACTTACTATTTAGTTTGGTTTTAATCAATCTTTTCCATAAAGTAGCCCTAACACTAGTCCCTAACACAAAAATGGCATATTCAGTCCAAATGCAAAGTGAAGTTTAAGTGCAGCGTGATTACAAACAAAGTTTGGAAAAGGTTTGGGAAGAACTGAACACAAATTCAACAGATTTGCTTTGAGCTGTGTCGATTTTCCTGCAGACTGTCCATTTACTTCAAGCCAGAAATGGAGGAAAAGCCAGTTGCTAAATGATAAGGAGAGTAATCTTAGGACTTCATTTGAATGTTACATGACTCCAGGTATTGGTGAGGTTTATTAAGAAGCAGTCATGCCACTGGCTATTAATATATGTGATTGTGAAAAGGTCCAAAAACAATCCAGCGACTCTGCTTCAGGTTTTATTTGAACACGCCAAAGGAGAAAAGCATTTTTCTGCAGACTTGAACCTTCAGACGACAAATATAAAAACAAATGAGAAGAAAAGCGCAACATTTCAACAGCTGATTGTCAAAGGCACTGAATGTTTTTTTCTTTAAAAAAAAAAGAGGAAAAAATTCCACTTTTACACTAGAAAATCTTTCTTTTTTTTCCCTACATGGAGACTTCACGACACTGACAGGTTTAAAAAGGTCTCCAGATGTTCTGTGGAGGTCATGAAAATTGATATGATGTTAAAATTCATTGTATGTGCAACAGCAGAGTTGAGGTGGACATGATCTGAGAGAGAGAAAAGCATATGTACATGCCAGTGTGTCGGCTCAAACTGACCCTACAGACCAGACCAGACCAGCATGTAAAAGTTCAAAAGGGTCTGAGCACCTAACATAGCCCCCGACGCCTCTTCCAGGACTCCACAGGAGGAGGCGGATTCTGGAAGACCTTCCAGAATCCTGGAAGTCTTCAAATCAGCAAAACAAGAGCAAATCTGGTGATAACTGAATAGAATCAGCTGCTAAATTTAAAGAGTTGGTGCTCGGACACCAAATGATGAGACATTTGTTCAGTTTATACTTTTGTGCAGTCTTATTTCACACAACTGGAGTGTCTGCACTTTAAAGCAGAGACGGGTCCTAAAGATGCACAGCGTGCTGGATACAGCTCCTCATTTCTGGGAACTGCTGTCCATGTAGTAGACGTTCACCAGGTGGCGGTTCAAGTGGCGCCGATACTCCACCTCCAGGGGGAACGTGCGGTCGCAAAAGATGCACATGTGACTCTTTAGCTCAGTAGGAGTTGGGATCTCATCAGTGGGTGTTTCTGGGTCATTGGGCATCTTAGTCGACCCGGCGCCGTTGCCATTGAGGCCGGAGTCGTCGCTGCCCTCGGAGGCGCTGTCGCTGATGTCACTCCCTCCTTCGTGGCTGCTGTGGATGCCCTCGTCATCCTCGGGCTCGGTGGGTTTGCTTCGCTGCCCAGGGAGCACCAGAGAAGGTGGTGACTTGGGTTTTAGGAATGTTGGCGCAGGTTGTTCTTCAGCAGGAGAAGGCGTGTCCTCACCGGAGCTGCAGGTGGGTGAAATGTCCGTCTTCTCAGAGTGTTTGTTTGGAGTCTTTTCTGGCTCTGGTGGAGCATGTGTACTTGCGGTGGTTCTTGCTGTAGGGCTGTGTTCTGTTGGGTCGCTGTGAGCGGTTTCCTTTGAGTTGTCCAGATGAGGAGAAACTTTCTGAGCCTCTGAGCATGGACTGTTGATTGAAGTTGCTCGACCCTCTGCTGGCTCCACAGCAGGCTGAGGGGTGGGGGCTTTCTTGTTGGAGCTCCTCGTCTTCTTCTGCTTTGCTGGTATTGCCCCATTGGACTTGTGTGCTGTCAGACTGGACTCAGTTACCTTACTGGTGTTTTGTGAGGCAGGTTTAGACTGAACATCCTCCACAGCTGAGGCTTTCACCCTCCTGGTCTTGGATGGAGTGCAGGGCTTGCTGGAAAGATCTAAAGCCTCCACAGCTCTCCGCTTTAATGCCTTTTCCTTGACTACCTTTTCCTTCTGACCTTTCTCTGGACACTTGTGTTTCTGTGGAGCTTGTTTGACGTGCACTGCAGTCTTCTCAGACTTCTTTGTTCCAGACTTTCTGGCTTTGCTGGCATTTTTGCTGTCATTCTTCTGATTTTCTTTCTCTTTCTCAGGCATCCCTTTTTGTTCCTCTTTGTCCAGCTTCTGCCTGGCTGATCTTGCCTCCTCTGGCCTTTGTTGGTCAGATTTCTCTCTCTCTGCTGGGTCTTTCTGGGTTATGCGTGCTTCTGCTTGGTTCTGAACAGCTACTTTCTCTGTTGCAAGCTTCTTGGCTCGTCTCTTCACTTTGTTCTCTAAACTTTCTGTCTCCATTTGGATTTCTTTAACAGATGCCCTGTCCACCGGACTCTCAGTGACCTTCTCGACCTTCTTCTGTCTTGTGATCTTTTTCTCTGGTTCCACTTTGTCCTTCGCTTTTGGCAGTTTCTCAGATGTGATGGTTGATTTCTTCTGAACCTTGCCAGGTGTTTCGGTCTGTAACGATTGGCCAGTGCTGGGCCGAGTGTTCTTTCTGATTGACAGATTGATAGGACTCGACTCCTCCTCCCCGTTGTCCATGTCCAGGTCTTCCTCAATGCTGGATGAATCATCAAGCTTATTTGCTCCAGAGTCTGACTTTTCCTCTGCACTCTCGGGACCTGGTTTCTTGACTCGCAGCTTGACTTTGGAAACATCCAGGGCAACATTGCAGCCAGAGTGCCTAGACTTGATGTGATACTGCAGGTTGCATTTCTTGGAGGCAGCATACTTGCAGAGGGGACAGAGAAACTGCCGAGGATTGAGGTGGAGTTCAACATGCTTCTTGTAGTTGCTGCGATCCGCGGTCTTGTACTCACAGTAGGGGCAGGAAAGAGGTTTGGGACCATTGTGGACCTGTCGAGCATGTCGAGTCACCTCGTGTTGGTTGGCTGCCAGGTAGGTACAGCTCTCGCACTTGAAAGGACGCTCACCTGCACACAAGAAAGTGAGGTGTTACACCCTTGCAGTGAAGGCAGTAGGATATAGAAAAGCTTCATGCAGCAGGTGAGTCTGATACTTGAGGATCTATATACATCAGTAGACTGATTCCTTATGTTTGTCTGTAACTGCTATATGTCTGTATTCACAACCCTGAGGTCCCTTTCTTAACCATAAAGAACAAAAAACACACCATGCACAAGTCTGTCTCATCTCTAGTTCAAAGTAATCTCCTTGTGCACCTGTGGACAACTTCCCATTGTGGCTGCTGTTTTTTGAATGAGCTCCATGGTAAAATCGAGCAAACTAGCTTCCAAACATCAACTTCGGTTTAAAGTGGCCACCTTTCAGGCCAAAGATCATCACTGCTGAAGTTGAACGGTCTCCAGCTGGAGCCCATAGACCAAACATTTATCCAACGGTGTGAGGGAGGGCAATTACTGCTGACCAAACCAACAAAACTTTACCATCCTACCCTCCTCACAGAATTTGGTTACGTGGAGATTGGTCAAATTGCTGTTAATGTGCTTTTTGCTTTTTATAGGTGGAGTTTTTATTTAACCTTTTCTCAGCAAATCTATAAATTGTATCTTGTTTAGTAAAATCTGCAAAATTATTACTTTCAAATCATTCAGGTTTATTCGTGTATTCGATGGAAGCCAAACAACTGAAACAGGATCGTTCATGCAGGAGTTTGAGGATCACAGAAGAGCAGATAAAACTGAAACCACTTAATCAGAGGCCGTTTTCTGACCCCGCTGATATGTTTTCAGATTCATCTGCTCTTCGGTGTGAATGCCCCACAGAGCAACACAACACAACACAACACAGGAGGTGGTAGCATATAGTTCTGCTGTTACCATGTTAGTCCAACAGCGACAGCTTCAGTGAGAGCAACACAAACAGAAATGTTCAGAGTGAGTCAGAGGAACAAAAACAGAGCGAAAACATCAGTGATATTAATTCTACTTAGTCCTATCATATATCACTAATATCACCATGCTACATCTACTAAAGTACAGCAGTGTGAGCACTACAACTACTGTAATACTAATACTTTAACAATTTTACTCTCGGGTCTTGAATATTCAACTATGAGCTAGATAAGAAAGAAAGGTACATTTCAGAATCTAGACCAAGGGTGTCAAACTCGGCCGTATTTTATAAATATGGGACAATGCTGCTTTCAAGGGACAAGAAACTACTACTACTAGGGCTGCACGATTAATCGTTAGAAAATCGCGATCTCGATTCATACTTATGTGCGATCTCATTTCCAAATGACAACGATTCAAAAAAAAAAGAAAAAAGACGACGATTGTACCGCATTTTGATCCGGGACGTACTCTGCATGAAAACAAGCGCTCACTCTTCCTGCTCAACAAATGACAAGGGCGGAGCCTTATACCACGTGATACAGAAGCTGTGCCGTGTGATGCTAAAATTAGCAGGGAAAAAACAACGGAGAGCACGTCAGGGATGACGAGAAAGTGACAGGAGAAAATCCGTCCCGGTCAACCACCCAAACATCAATAACGGGAACCTTATACAGCGCTTCCCTATACCCGTCAAACTCAAAGAAATTACGGAGGCTATCACTTATCACCTGACCAAAGATATGGCTCCCATCAACACTGTGCAAAACGAGGGATTTAGGAAAATGATCAACACCCTAGACCAGGGGTGCCCAATCCCGGTCCTCGAGAGCTACCGTCCTGCAGCTTTTGGATGCATCCTTGTTGCAACACACCCGAATCAAATGAATGGCTTGTTATCAGGCCTTTGCCAAACACGATGGCATGCTGAAGAGGTAATCAAACCATTTGATTCAGCTGTATTGGAGTAGGGATGCATCTAAAAGCTGCAGGATAGTAGCTCTCGAGGACTGGGATTGGGCAGCCCTGCCCTAGACAAACGCTACACAGTGCCGTCCCGCAACTATTTTTCTATTGTTGCACTACCTGCTCTATACACGCAGTGTCGAGCAACGGTGGAAACTGAATTTCAAGCAGTACAACATTTTGCGGCAACAACAAAACGTGAGACATTTGTTGTTTTTATGTTTATTTATTGTTTTTATGTTCAGTCTCAACTGTTACGAAGTTGATGTGCAGTTAATAAGTGCAATAAATATTTATACTGGAAAAGAAAATCGGGAGAGAATCGTGATCTCAATTCTAAGCCAAAAAATCGTGATTCTCATTTTATGCAAAATCGTGCAGCCCTAACTACTACTACTGCCCTGACAAACTGCCCGGGTCTTTACGCCATCTGCTTAATCCTGGAACAAGTGCCAAACAAAGAGAGCAAACCACTCACTCTGGCTGGCTAAGAGAAACATCGAGCAGTGTTGTACAACTGATTTAACAGTTTACTATTTAACTCTCCAACTGATTTATTAGCCTCTACAGTTAGTTTTACCTGAGTGAGTCCTCATGTGTCGGGTCAGGTGGGTCTTCTGTGAGCTTGAGTAGTCGCAGTATGGACACTGGAATGGGCGAACACCTGAAATAGACAGAAAATAACACTGAGGTCCCACGACTACCTACATACAGACACTTTTAGTGCCTAAAAGACTTCAGACAGGCAAAAGACAGGAACGCAGAGGGTCGTCGTACCAGTGTGAGTCCGAATGTGTTGGATATAGTTGCTCTTGCGGTCAGAGAAGTAGGAGCACTGGCTGCAGGTGTGCAGTTTGCTGGGGAAGTGATTCCTTAGATGTTTCCTCCAGTGGTACTGACTGACGGTGGTGTATGGACACAGAGTACACTTAAACACCCTGCAGAGACACAGCGGCAGCACACACTCGTTACTCAGGTCGGTAAAACAAATGGTCATTAATTTTCCTGCAAAATGCTGGTATATGGAGGCAAAGTGTGTGTGTCAGTGCACAAGTGCAGGTCTTACCTGTGGTCTTCACCCTCCTTGTTGTGGTGTTTCAGGTGGGCGATATAGTGGTCGTATCGGTTGGTGTTGTAGCCGCAGCGCTCGCACCTGATCAGCCCTTTGATGTCATCTGCATTGGCTGCCACCTCCCCGCCGCTCTCGGCCTCACCACCTGCCGGGGCCTCGGGTGCTTCCGCCTCCTTTGCCTTGGTCTTGCTCCTCCCCTCCACCCGGTTCACCACCATCATCTTGCTGATACTGTGGGTGCTTAGATGATCCACAAACTCCTGCTCATTTTCCGCCTGGAAGTGACATGGTTTGCAGTGGAACGGTTTCTTCTTCTTCGTGCTCTCCGTCACAGCAGGCGGGGCCTCTTTGCGTTTGGCACCCTGGGGAGGTGGTGTTTTAGTGGTGGTGGCGGAGGAGGAGCAGGGCTGAGGCGGGCAGGACAGATCTTCAGCTTTGTCTTCCTCATCCTCGTTCTCATTCTCCTCTGTCCTGTTTCCAACAACCACAGCACGGATACCTGGGCCCAGAGTCTCGGGATACTTCTCAATACCGGCATCTCTCTGATTCTGGTTCTCGTAGCCATACCTGATCGCACACACAGGTGAGTTAGTGGCCAGATGAAACAGGTATCTGCAATATTACTATCAGGTTCTATAGAGCAGGTCTTTCTTTTATTATCAGTAATATCTCAATCAGAAAATTTAGAGCATGCTTTAAAATATTTTGCCTGCTGTGGGCATCCTTTGCACAAACAAGGGAATTCCTCGCAATACGCACTCACAGTTAAGCTGAAATCAAACCAAACTACCCACACTAAGTGCTGCTGGAAAGGGAAAATGACTACAAAAGCAACAACTCATTCTTCATGACAGCAAAAAAGGCAGATAACTCGCTTCTGAACTGGGAGCACATGGGAGCTTCACGGGCTGTCCTCAACTGGAATATGTAACGCCTTTTGCAACTTCACAGGGAAACATAAAACATTTATAGATCTTAGCTTCCTTCATTTTAAATCCAGACTTTTTAATGACCTGCGGGAACCCTGTGTGTGTAATCATGTTTGACCAAACACAATCTCAACAGAAAAAAAAGTGTGATTATGATTTCTGCCATTCAGAGGAGCTGTCGCTGAAGGTTTTTTCTCTTAATTGCAAATATAGAAACGGCTGGATGTTTCCAGGAATAGCAAACAACCCATGAGTTAAAAAATAGTTTCAATGTTTGTTTAAAGTTTCCCTTGGTTAATATGGGGGTCAAGCCGAGGTCGGACTCGTTCTCACTTCCTCACCTGACCACACTCTCGTCCTCGCTGTCCGAGTAGCTGCCTCCCACGGTCTTCAGCTCCATCATCTCCTTCTCACCATCACAGCCACCGCTGCTCTCCGCGGCTGTCACCGCTGCCACGTTTGCCAGCATCACCAACTGAGGGGCGGGCAGCGTGTTCCTGGGCATGTCGCTGAGATTCTGCCCATCCTCCATCAGAGGAACACCCACGGGGAACATATCGAGCGAGAACACAGGCTGAACTGCCATGTGGAGTTCAGCGCTTCACCTAGACACACGGAAAGCTGCAGGGACAACGACACGGGAGGAATATTTTTAATAACTGCGATCTCAGAATCATAACCACATATATGTTTCTGGTTATTTTTTCCTTTAACTTATGTGTAACACTGAACATGAAGCGTTCTAAATCCTCTCTGCCTAAGACGGACCACAGATAACAGTTTTTCTCATGTAGGATTTGAGCGCAATCTACTTAATAATGTCCATAATTACAGATAAATGCAAATCCACAAAAGCTCATGGCCCTCATTTCTGAATATTTGAGTGGAACCGTTCCTACCCTGTGCAAAAAAATTATCTACAAAACATGTGGAGCGGCTTGTTTTCGCATGTTACTAAATCAGACTCATTCTGAACCAGCAGGCTTGTGCAATCTGCATACTGCCACTACTTCTCTATCACTCCTCTAGTTTACCTCCAGTTGAAGCAGAAGTGGTGACGATGTTTTAAGAGAGAAACCTGCATCGCTAAGGCAAGAAAAAGGGGGGAAAGGCGAGGTTCCACTTGATCACTTTCACTTTGGCTTTAGAACGAAAGAAACTCTCGGATGAGACGTGAAACGTTTTCAAGAAATTTAAATAAGTCCACTTGCCTTCTTATAAAGCTTCCTAGGCTAACATGACCTGGATGACTGAGACATTATGGTTTGTTTGGGAGATTTTTGCAAACTGTAGATGATGACCAAAGGGCAATAATAACGACAATAGTTTTATTATTGTTATTAGCAGCAGTTTTCTAGTTAAAAACTTGTGCTTTTTCCTAAGAAAAGGGCCACTATTTGTTCTCATGCTGTTACATCTAAGTTTGAGGGTAGAGTACGAACACAGTCAGGTATAAAATTACTGATAAATCACTGGCTTGTGTGTAAATTTTTCTTACTCACAATTTACGCAGTGCATTTGCACAGCGTACTCCTACGTGGAATAAAATGTGTCACAGAAACAGTGTTTGTCTTAACTTTTAAAAAATGTATTCTTTTCCTAGTATTACTAAAACTTTTTAAAAATATTTGTAATACTTGGACTGTATGATACATTTTACTGATACAATGTGTGTGTTTTTAACTTATTGTAAAAAACAATAAATAAAAAATGGGACTTCATTTTATTTTGTTTAAAATATTTTTCATATTAAAAAAGCGATTCGTTGGTCATGTTAGTCGCTTAAATAGCTTGGTCACTTGCGGCTTAGGTCTTTTTAATTTACCAATTTTAAATATTAGCGCTTATTACTAATCAATGAGCCTCCCGGGAGATGAATTTGCTTATTATAAAAAAAGAGGAAGTCATTACAGGGTAATTTTCCTTCCTCTCAGAATAAACATCCTGCAGTAAAGATGCTGAAATAACAACTGAAAACTTTCACTGCATCGCTTTGTCGGCCATTTTGAAAGCAGCACCACGGCTCAGTCGACAGCGCCACACAGAAGTCCCTCTGGAAAAACACCAAGTTTAGAGGACCATCCCGCGGGGAAGGAGGCCGCCTGGCAGCTACTTAAACCCCACATCTCACCAACTAAAGGTCAAAGTTATTCAGCAGAAAATAAGCCGAATTTATGGTGGAAAAACAGAAGTGACAAAAACCTAAAACTCTGCCACATAAAAACACAAATACCTCCATAAATCTGTCGACATCGAATTAGCAGTGGTGGAAGTAAACTTGTTCAGCTGATTTGGATCAAGTTAAATAAGGTCAGAGTGGACAAAAGAAGGAGGTTTTAAGTGAAGGATTAAAAAGTGAAAGTCCAATAATCTGCCCAGATTTAGGATGTCTGGGGACTAACAACATCAGGAACTATTTTCTGTAGAAAAAAAAAATCTCACTCACGATTTTTTTTTCCTGAGACGTTTGATTAAATCACTTTTAACTTGAACCCATGAGATTATATTTTACTCGTGTAAAAAAATGGTAGCTGTAAAGCTGCCGTTGTAATTTACAGCCACCATTTCAGATCCTTACGGAGTTTCACCAAACTTCGTTTGCGGAAGCGCACAAGTCGAATCAAACAGCGACATTTTACTGCGGCACTTCGGAGTCGGTCTAAAGTGTTACAGGAGCTTTTCCAGCTGTTTTTCAGCGGCGAATCTGCAGCTGGCAGCCGGGAGAATGTGGGGAAAGTGTGGGTCGATGTGTTAGAGTGTTAGCCATGGTCCTGATCAGCCCCGGACAGCGCCTTCTTCACCACCTCACCGCCTCCATTTTCCCAAACTGACTTCAACTTTGCAGCCGCTTCGCTCCGACAAAAACCCCGCACAGATGCGCTTTCAGCCCGACACTTCCCGCCCTGCAGCCTGGACACTCACCGGCTCCTCACGTCCGAACTCTACGAAACTTTTCCTGGACTTCTGCTTCTGTTTGTAGTTTTTCTTTCTCCCTTCGACGAACAGCGCACGGAGAAAAGTGAACACAACTTTCCGCACATTCCTCCACAGCGACGCACGACCGTGACGTCAGCACGTCGTTCACACAGCGCGAGGAGGTGTGGAAATCAGTTCCCAATCTTTTATTTTAAAGTAACCGTATTATTTATTTATTTATTTATTTATTTATTTATTAAATAGCATAATTCATTAATTTTATTCACTTTATTTTGATTATTGTACCTGATACATCCAGTTGATTTAATTTGTTTTATAAAAAAAAGTCACAGTTACCTACAAAGATGACTTTTCCCTCATACAGAACAATAAAGACAGTTTTTTTGTTTTGCTTTTTAATTGAAAACAAAAAGTTATACTCTGTTGTTTCAGTGTTGTGCCAAAAAGTGCCTTGTATTGTTATGGAACTCTTGTGCTTGCTACACCAAATAGCCAGTTCCTGTTAAAAAAAAAAAAAAAAGGAAGAACGAAAGAAAGAAACTGGGAGACTATAGAAATGTCTGTCTCCTAAACAGCTAATGCAGTGCTCTTGTTAAACTCTTTGAATTAAAGCTGAAAGTCTGTGCCTCAATCACATCTTGTTTTTTGTTTGTTTGTTATTTTATTTTAAACCCACTGTGGTGTGGACAGAGACAAAATCACAAAATATGTTGCTTCCCCAAATTCTTTGGACATAACTGTACATAGTCCTCACCCTCACCTGACCGTGAAATTTATACAAATTGTAAAACCTCCATACACACCTATCGTTCAACTAGATTATCCCATTATTGATGAAAGTATATGAATCTGTATAATAAAGGGTTAAAAATGCTCACACCACTGATTTCTCAGAATCATTTTTGTTTCAGTCAATCAGGTTTGATTCCTTATTGAATGATTTTAAACACAAAATTAACATCTGAGTATATCAAAACAGTGCTTACAGACTGGCAAAAGCAAAGGAAAAGGCCAATAGTGAATTTTATTGGAGGTCGGATACTAAGGCATGAGAAAAGAACTTGTATCAACTGGCTGGCAGAGATATCAAACTGTAAAGGATGTGCAACAGGTTAGGGTGATTAAGGGCAGAGATGGAAGTGTACTAGCACTCAAAGTGAGTACTTTGAGTGGAGGATGGATGGTGGAAAGAGTGAATCAGGAAGAGCTGATGATTCGTAGGGAGGAAATGAGGGTAGCTATGATGAGGACAAAGAGTGGAAAGGCAGATGGTCCAGATGACATACCAGGAGATGTCTAGGAGAGAGGGCAGTGGACCTTTTGATCAGATTGTTTAACACAATGAGAGTAGGGAACAGCTGGAAAAGAGCCCGGAGAGGCAAAGGCGTGCTCTGGAGAGGATGACTGAGAAATGGAATAGAAGTGCGTTGGTACCTATTTTCAAGAACAAGGTTCTCAGAGTTTAACAAGAGCAGTGAGCAGTATTCAGTGATACAGGAAACATCAGGGTAACGAGACACAGCTAATTCAAGAAGATGATACCTGGGCATCATTACTGGAAACAAGTGACAGGAGCTACAAAACAAAATACAAACCTTATTTATTTAGATTTTTCTAAAAGGATCTTGGAGCAGTTACCACTTAAAAAAAGGAATGAGAATGAGGAGAGAAAGTGGGGGTTTGGTACCTCTGGGCCTCCATCTGGAGCCTGCCTAACATTAAAAGTTTCATCCACAGTGAGAAACAACCAGCAGCTTACTTACAGGTATTATCACTTCTCCTTCAGTTTGCACAGACGACAGAGCAAAGACTGCCGGCCGAGGAAGACTGCAGGTGCTGCTAAACGCTTCTGGAAAAACATAACGAAACTGATTCCAAGTCCAGCATAAACTTTTAAATTTATGGATGGATACTTGATTTCTTTTTTGCCAGGCAAAAAGCTGTATTGAACATATTGTAACAACAACACAGGCTGACCAAATACAATGATCCATAAATATAAATATGAAAAATAAATATGTCAATAAATAAAAATTATACAAAAAGAAAAGAGAAAAAAGAAAAAAGGCACACACACATATTAGATTTAAATTACTAAGTAATGAGAGTAATTTATAGACTGATCCATTTTGAACTGCTTTCAGAGACTTACTAAACAGCTTTAGATCATTCGTCCAGAATCTGCATTTGTGAATGAAATATTTTCCAATTAAAATTACATTGTTAAGTTCAATTCACGGAGAATCTCCGTGAATCGCTACCTTATTGTGTTCCCAGGGATCCCAGGGGCTATGCTGTCTGGGCGCTTTTGCCCCCTAGTAGGGTCTCCCATGGCAAATTGGCCCTGGGTGAGGGACCAGACAAAGAGCGATTCAGAAGACCCTTATGAAGAAAAAAAAATAGGGTTACCGGGGCCCCGCCCTGGAGCCAGGCCCGGGGAGGGTGCCCGAGGGCGAGCGTCTGGTGGCCGGGCCTTAGTCCATGGGGCCCGGCCGGGCACAGCCCGAAGAGGAGACATGGGCCCATCCTCCCGCAGGCCCACCACCCGCAGGAGGCGCCATAGGGGTCGGGTGCATTGTGTGCCGGGTGGCGGCCAGGAGCGGAGGCCCTGGCGGACTGACCCCCGGCTGCCAAGACTGGCAATAGGGACATGGAATGTCACCTCTCTGGTGGGGAAGGAGCCTGAGTTAGTGCGTGAGGTTGAGAGGTACCGGCTAGATATAGTCGGGCTCACCTCTACGCATGGCTTGGGCTCTGGAACCAGTCTCCTGGAGAGGGGCTGGACTCTGTCTCAGTCTGGAGTTGCCCCTGGTGAGAGGCGGCGGGCTGGGGTGGGTATTCTAATATCCCCTCGGCTTGCTGCCGGTACGTTGGGGTTTTTCCCGGTGGATGAGAGGGTTTGTTCCCTGCGCCTTAGGGTCGGGGAACGGGTCCTGACTGTCATCTGCGCTTATGCACCAAGTGGAAGTTCAGAGTACCCAGCCTTCTTAGAGTTCCTGGGTGGTGTGCTGGAAGGTGCTCCACCTGGAGACTCTGTTGTCCTGCTGGCAGACTTCAATGCTCACGTGGGTAACGACAGCGAGACCTGGAGGGGCCTGATTGGGAGGAACAGCCTCCCTGATCTGAACCGGAGCGGTGTTTTGTTATTGGACTTCTGTGCAAATCACAGTTTGGCCATAACAAACACCTTGTTCGAACATAAGAGTGTCCATAACTGCACGTGGCACCAGGACGCTCTAGGCCAGGGGTGCCCAATCCCAGTCCTCGAGAGCTACCGTCCTGCAGCTTTTAGATGCATCCCTACTCCAACACAGCTGAATCAAATGGTTTGATTACCTCTTCAGCATGCCATCGTGTTTGGCAAAGGCCTGATAACAAGCCATTCATTTGATTCAGCTGTGTTGGAGTAGGGATGCATCTAAAAGCTGCAGGATAGTAGCTCTCGAGGACTGGGATTGGGCAGCCCTGCTCTAGGCCGTAGGTCGATGATCGATTTTGTAATCGTATCACCAGACCTGCGACCATATGTTCTGGACACTCAGGTAAAGAGAGGGGCTGAGCTGTCAACTGATCACCACCTGGTGGTGAGTTGGATCAGGTGGCGGGGGAGGACGCTGGACCGACCCGGTGCAGCCGACAGGTATCGACAGGCCAAGCGGAATGCGGCTCGGGCAGAGGCTGAAGCAAAAACTCGGGTGTGGGAGGAGTTCAGGAGAGGCCATGGAAAAAGACTTTCGGACTGCCTCGAAGAGATTCTGGCAAACCGTCAGGCGTCTCAGGAGGGGAAAGCGGTGCTCTACCTGCACTGTGTATAGTGCTGGCGGAGCGCTGCTGACGTCGACTGAGAAAATTGTCAGGCGGTGGAAGAATACTTCGAGGACCTCCTTAATCCCACTGACACGTCTTCCGAGGAGGAAGCAGAGTCTGGGGATGAGGGGAATGACCCGCCAATTTCCGGGGGCGAGGTCACTGAGGCAGTTAAACAACTCCTTGGTGGCAGAGCCCCTGGTGTTGATGAGGTCCGCCCCGAGTTCCTGAAGGCTCTGGACGTTGTAGGGCTGTCCTGGTTGACACGCCTCTGCAATGTTGCGTGGAGATCAGGGGCAGTACCTGTGGACTGGCAGACCGGGGTGGTGGTCCCCATCTTTAAGAAGGGGGACCGGAGGGTGTGTTCCAACTACAGGGGGATCACACTCCTCAGCCTCCCTGGGAAAGTCTATGCCAGGGTGCTGGAAAGGAGAGTATATCCACTAGTCGAACCTCGGATACAAGAGGAACAATGCGGTTTTCGTCCTGGTCGCGGAACACTGGACCAGCTCTTTATCCTCTCAAGGACACTTGAGAGTGCATGGGAGTTTGCCCAACCAGTCTACATGTGTTTTGTGGCCTTGGAAAAGGCATTCGGCCGTGTCCCTCGGGGTGTCCTGTGGGAGGTGCTGTGGGAGTATGGGGTGTCTGGCCCATTACTATGGGCCATTCGATCCCTATACAACCGTTGCAAGAGCTTGGTTCACATTGCCGACAATAAGTCGGACTCATTCCCGGTAGGTGATGGGCTCCGCCAGGGCTGCCCTTTGTCATCGATTCTGTTCTTTAGGCTGTTAGCCTGTACGTTAGCCTGTTATTGGACTCATCTCGGACGGGGATGAGTCTGCCTACAGGAGGGAGGTTGAACGTCTGGTGTCCTGGTGCAGCCACAACAACCTGGTGCTGAATGCCCAGAAGACAGCGGAGATTATTGTGGACTTCAGGAAGCACACAGCCCCACCCCCCCTGTGTTCACTGCATCATTCCATGTTTGGAACTGATCACCACCTGCACTCATGTATATATCTATCTACTTAGCACTTTTAATTCTTATTTTTATTTTTATGTCTATTTAAGCGTTATATGACAGTATGTTTGCACTAAGTACCGCAGCAATTTCCTAATGTTGTAAACCTGCTCAACATTTGACAATAAAACCCTTTCTGATTCTGATTCTGTTCAGAATTTTTATGGACAGGATTTCTAGGTGCAGCCCAGTGGCGGAGGGTTTTCACTTCGGTGGCCTCGGAATCTTATCTCTGCTTTTCGCGGATGATGTGGTTCTGTTGGCTTCATCGGGTGAAGGCCTCCAGCTCGCACTAGAACGGTTCGCAGCTGAGT